TATCACCTCCCACCTTGAAACATCCTCCTCTGCTCAGCAGGCACTAACTGCCCTATTCATTCAATTTGACTAACCAGATAATGTAATAAATGAAACCCTGAACAATTGTTTCTAACCTGTAATTTGCTGAAGTCTGATGACTCTCAAAAAAGCCTTGTTTGCTCAGAAACATGTCATTTTTTCTGCATGTCATCCAGAATTATTAAAAAATATGGTCTCTCTTCCTGAAATACTTGCTTCATTTGTTGCCATCACAACTATCAAAATCCTAACACAAAGAAACTTTTATATCAAGGAGAGTTTATTAATGCAGCTATGTGCTGGATTATACATTTGCACGCTGAAACTCTTTAGAATTGTGGACAAAGCCAACTGAAATCAATGGGAAAGATGTTATTTAAATAGACTTTATTTCAAGACCTCAATTGAGGTGACACACTTAATTTCTTTCAAAATAATCCTGTTATACCCTTCAGGAACAATAAAATAGGACCTCAGAATGAATGCTATTTATATAGACTTCCTTGCTATTCCTCATTGCAGGTAGAATGCAAAGGAGACTCCTCTGAAGACCCAGGGACCACAAAGAAAGATAGAAGAAACTATAAAAACCTATTTTTAAAAGAATCAAATATTTCTAGAATCTGCCTTATCTAAAAAATAACAAATTCTGTTCTCCCTTTAATTGTGTGACCAACACTTCCATTAAATAATTGAGTAATTTTTTTTTTTTTTTAGAAATTCATGTTGGTCTACAGTGACATTGTGAAAAATGTCACTGAAAACTTCCAATATTTTTATATAGGATTCCTATAGCCTTATTGGAGCAACAAAAATAGGAAAAATAATCTAACTTGTGATTCTCCAAACCCTAGGAGGGGCCTTCACAAATCACCAGCCTGATGTTCACAGATAGATCAGCACTTGCCAGAGCACTTTGGTAGAACGAGACAAGTAAATTCTTCTCAGGATGAAGGTACCTCAAATCAGCTTAATAAAATAGCATGTTTGGATTCTCTATAAAGAGAATGAATTATTAGTTTACATTCTCCTGTCACTAGGTATCTTTCCTTGCTCTTTGATGCTGGCAATTGGTTATTTCCCCAAGGCACTGCAGTGATACATTTACATGTCACCACATCCCTCGCTGTGCTGAGCTGTCACTCTCACATTCAGCATGGCAGGCCAGCGTAGAAATCCAAGAATATCTGAGAGCTGACAACTTCTGCCTTACAGTACCCTGCACTCCTCTGGAGCCAGCACAGGGTTTGCTCTGCTAAACAAAAATGCAACTCCAATTTCTATTAGCCAGAGGTAATGGAAGAGAAAGGGGGATTGTGTTTTTCTCAATTTCAGTGAGTAAGTAGGGTGGAATACTGAGAAGACCAAACACAGCATGTTTTCATGATGTCCTAATTTCTTTTCATGAGCCAGACAACTTCCTATTTTGGCATCACAAATCAGTGAAGCACAAAAACAGCTTAAGACACTGACCACAGGTCACATTTGAACAGTTTCTAAAGGTGCGACCAGAATCTAACATTAAAGGTGCTAGATTCCACCCATCCATGGTGGAATGGATCCTATATTTTCAGGAGGCTGTAGCTATTGTTTTCTCTTATGTTCTCCCTCAACCAGATGCATTTAGCAATTCTCAATGGATTTGTCTTCCTAAATCTTGCTCCATCTCTTCCTGCACCTATGTATACTCTTAACATGCACAAAACCCCTCAATGAAGACTTCTCCATCCCAGATACCAAGAGATAAAATTTCCTTCTGTGAAGAAAACTTTCCCTTCTGCTTCTTGTAAATGTGGCTCTTACTTGCATATTTTCTTGCCCCTACTTAATTGCCCAAGAAGTGGAATTGCTGTGTGATTTCTCATAATGAGCAGTCTGCACTTCTCTTGTGCTGAGAAGACATTTTGTAAATAGGGCAAACCTTTAGATTACTATTTTAAAGCATTTTATGAGGTTTCCCAAGGGTCCACCCTAGGACCATGACAGCGGTTAATTACAGAAATTTGACTTCTCATAACCTTTTGCAGTAACCACTTGAAAAGCACATAAAAGATTCTATATCACTGCTCCACATTCAATGATCAAGGGAAGGGAAAACAAAATGAACAAAAAACCCCAAACAAAAAAACAACAAACCTTCCCCCACCCCCCCAAAAAAACCCCAACCCAACAAAAAAGCTCAAAAGAAATCCAACAAAAAATCAAACCAACCAAACAAAAAACACCAAACCAAAAAAAAAAAAAAAAAACAAAAAATAAAATCTAAACCCAAAAAGCCACAAAGCCTACAACATGCCATCAGGGACAGAAGAAGCCCCAGAGAGAAGAAAGATCGCCTGTCCAAACAGACAGTGCTATGTAGGGAGGTTAAGTATCAGACAATACAAAAATGGAATTCTGAAGGCAGTTCCAGTTCAAAGAGACAGGCTGCCTCGTTATCTTGAGATGCCTTCTCAAGGGGATTCATTGCAAGCCTGAAAACTGCAAATGAGTTACAGAAAAGAACAGGCAGAATGATAATCACAGCCACCACCCAAGAGTACAACACAAACTACAGCACTCTGCTATTGACAACCTGTAGTTTCTTCCTCTGACTTTAAATGCAGATGATTTGGGACCATTATTTATACGGGTGAGGAACTACATCATGAGAGGAAATCTATACCTCTGAAGCTGGGGTATCATTCTCCTGGCTTGTGTGAAAGATGTCAAAAGCAAAAAAAACCCCAAAGCTGATATGTGTGAAAACCTCCAAGTTTGGCTCACTGACTGTGGCAACATTCACAAAGGCACAGAGAGTGAGTGTTGAAGTCTGCCTGTCTTTGGAGGCAAAAACTGATGTCTCCAAGCATTAATGGCTGTCTAATCCCAAACCAACCAGTTTGTTATCAAATATCTTTTGCTAGAAGACAAAGGTATTTTGAGGATTAACAAGGCAGAACCATCTCAGGTGATCTCCAACTTGTGGACAGAGGACGTAAATATGCAATATATTTTTGGAAGGAGTAGTTTCAAGTTCCTGTTACATCTAATCATTCTTCTGTGCTGATCCTTTCATTGCATTTCCACTTCAGACAACCTTAGTGACTACAAAGACATGAAGCAGAGAAGCTTGCAGCTCCCTGTGGATAGAGCTTGTTGCTTGAAAACCTCAATGCACTTTGAGTAAAAGCATTTAGTGCACAGTAACTCTGGCAGGCAAAACACTAGATTTAACAAGAACAAGTTTTTTTTAATTTGAGGAAGTTAATTGCTAATGAGTGAGGAAGAGTAGAAAAGGGAAACGGGATCAGCCTGAATAACCTAGAAGTACCTGAGAGTTGCTAGAAAAAGCTGGAATGCAAAGAATGTTGGAAAAGAGATTTACAGGGCCCATTTCCAATAGAAGGGCGCTCATCTAAGAATATGAGACACTCTGAGCGTGGCAACCTTTCCACACACTTTAAATACCCAAGTGTCACAGACACAGCACAGAGCAGCTCATAAACCTTGAAAAATGCAGTAAGCAGCCTGCCTCAGGAAACCATGGTGTTTAAACAATCACTTATGTGAAAGGGATTGAAGGGTGGAGGCACATCCCCACTACCTGAAACTGAGAGAAGGAGCTGGATTCCCAGACCTTTCATCTAGCATGAACCAAGGGTAGTGATAACAGAGTTTCGCTGCTTGGAGCCACTTACACCCAGACAGTGCCCTTCTGAGAAAAAGTGCATTGCAAAATTTTGCTCTCCCCCCTTAGTAAGGCCTTCCCATTACCCAGCCAGCAAAACAACCAGCTGTTTAATGACCTAAGAAGCAGACAAGGGCTCTTTGCTCCCCCATTAGAAAGTAAGCTGAGGTGAAGAGCGATTTAACACAGCTCATAGGATTTCTGCCTTTGAGTCCTCAGTCAGAACAATCAAACTCAAGATTATTAAAGCACTGTCTCTCGGTCCCAGGGGAGTATCCTGGAGGCAGTCTTGACTGCCAACAACACAGTGAGGAACTTCTCACCCATCACCTTTCCATTTCCATAGCTCCCTGCCTATTCAGCCTTGCCCTAGGCAGGGAAAGCACAGAAAGAACTTCCTTGGTCTTCTGGCTTGCTTTGTTTTAGGTTCTGTGTTTTTATACACATTGCTACAAACTAGAAGATGCTATGGGAGCCAGAAGCAGTTTCATCTCCATGTTCTCCAAAGACACAGTGTTAGCCAAAAGGCATTTATCAAAGCACAGTGTAGGAGTGAGACAAAAGCTGAACAGAGTTGAATTAAATATAGTTTGTCAAGGCTGTGGGAGTGTAGTTCACTCTTCTTACAAAATAAAATGTTTGTTATTTTCATGATATATTTAAATGTATCTGTAATTTTGGACCTTACTATGTGTTAAGTTATATTTGTGGTTTATGCTATCAAGCTGGATAAAATTGTAGTTCCTCTTGCTTTACCCCTACCATTCCACATTTAGAGACAGTAGTACAAAGTCAATGGTTCTCAGAACTGTCAGTACATTGAATATAAGGAGCAGCACAAAGAAAACTATTTCCAGTGATAACAAGAGTATTTTTTCTCCTCTATAATATGAACTGAAGCATCAAAGTAGAATTCTGCTAGCGCTGTACTTCCCAACAGTGACAGAGAATAGTTCAGAAAGTAAGATTTTATCTGAGTTAACCAGGAAGAAAAAATCTCTATGACTTCTATCATGCCATTAAATATACACATTTTTATCTTGAAGAAAAAAATCAAAATGTTTCCTCAAGCAAATTCTAATAGACCAGGAAAATCAGAGAAATGCATTGGTTTCCACATGTCTCTCAATAACTCTCTTCACAGGAGCCAGTGCTGGCTGGTGTTAACCTCAGCAACATCATTTTAACAAGCTAATTATGCCCACAGCTATCCAAATCTGAACTCTGCTCATTCAATGCAGCCAGCAGCACCATGAGAGCACAAAAAACATGGAAGCAAAGAAGGAAAGCACATGGCACTGCCTCTTACCACAGTATAGATCTGAGGTTTGCGTCTTTTGGCCAGGTCAATTATATTGACTCCGTTGTAATAGAGGTTCTCAATGCACCCATGGAAGTTTTTCCTCTGAAAGGTTCCTGGCTTCCCTGGGACAGGAATCCCTCCAAAGCTGAGCTTTTGGAAAGAATAAGAACAGCATTATTTAGATTATATATATGTATGTGTACGTATACATCATACTACATTGTGTTATCACCCCAAAAGCAGGAGAGCAGAGCCCCACTCCATACATCCACTTGGTGTATTATTTAAGAAACAATTCCACCAACATCATCACTGGGAGCATGAGGCAGGCCTTGGCCATCTCTCAGGGGAAATCACAGCTCCCACTGCATTCCTGCTGCTGGAGAAACACGTCTGGCACAGAGAGCTCACTGCTTTGGGAGCAGCTCTGAAGTGCCTTGGCACACCAGCCTAGTGCCACCAGCTCCCCTCCAGGATCACCCACACACAAGGAAACCTTCCCACAGTGTGCAACCCACAGCCCCACTGGCCCAGAGGGTAACACCAGGCTGCAACCCACAGTGCTCAGGAAGCTCTGAGCGATGGGGGAATAAATTCTCCCTGCCCTCAGAGCTCTGGGCTTGCCAGGGAGCTGCAGTCACTCCTTTCCACCAGGCACGCGTTGAGCAGTTTCAGCCAGAGAAGGGCACTATCACATACACAAGTACCCCATTTACACCTTGCAATTTCCCTGTGCTTTGGTTTTTACAACTGTCCCATGGGGCATTTGGGACTGAGCTTTGTAATGGAGTTGTTCTGCAGGCTACACATTTGCACAAAATTTCTGGCAGACGTTAACACTGTACAGCTCCTCACTCAACTGGGGGGCTGAAAGCACTGGGAGGACAAAGAGCCTAAGAAAATTAAGCTGCCCAAATACAGCATAATTGTTCAGATTCTGAAGAAAAGAAAGAAAACCAAACTCCACAACCCCCAAAAATTCTGATAATCCTGCCTTCATTTTCCAAATGTCACAGCTCATTTCTAATTAACTTTACTGACCTTTCTGGCAAAGCATTACTGGTAATACCACTAAAGTTTTACTCATTTTTCCCATCACAGCCAGCAGCACAGTGAGTGATATAATGCAGATGGGGCTCCTGCAGCCACACTTGATCAGGACCTGTGCTGCAATCCTACTGCATCCACTGCAGCAAGAGCATGCCCTGCTGTGCGGCACTGCTTACAGGCTGCCAGCTCCTGGAACCTGGTCAGCCCTATTCCCCTGTCACAATTCCCAAAGCCTTGTCTCAGCTCATTATTACAAAAATAAAGGGCAATTTGGGGGTTATTTTTCCTCCCACTCCATCTAACAAGCTGGGATACATAAGCAAGTGAAACCTCCCTGGGTAACCTTGAAAACATTTACTTGAAAACAAGTTCTTAATGAACTTGCACCTCAGTTGTTTTAATTGATCACTTCAGAGAAATAAAGAGTGAGCAGACTGCTACTTTACGTCACTTGCAGGTTTGTTATTGGCATGAGGGCTTATCTGGTAGCAATGCTGGTTTTTTTTCCAGTGAGAATCATTAGTTCTTTCTAAGAGGCCAGACTTTCTTTCTTTCATGTTCTATTCTTCAAGTCTCCTGCTAAGAGACTCTGTACTGGGGTTTCAAAACAAGAAGAAAAATCAATATCAATTACACCAAAGCATTATTAAGAAAACAGTTTCCTTTGTGATTGGTAATAATTTTAATTATGAAAGTAATGATTTTGTTACCCTCAGTAAGGCTTTTAATCCCTAAAGTGTGCTGAGATAAACTTTCAGTAGACTGCATTGCTGTAACGTTTGACTGAAAGACTCTCTCAGTGCAAATGGAGAAAAAACACACTGAAAAACTAAGCTCAGGGGATAAGGTCTGAGTGCCAAAGTAGTTGGTGGTGATGCTGATTTACAACACCTGGAGATCTTTTCTATAATGTTCCCTATTTTTGAACATCTGGAAAAATGTTCTGTAAATTAGATTGGAGCCTGAGTTTCCCCTAGTTGGCACCAAGCAAGAGGTAAGAAATTTTATTATTTTGAAATTAGAAAAGCTGATGACTCACTTATTTGGCTTTTCTCAACTCCATCTTAAAAGCAGTTACAGTTTTGATCCCTAATAGTTCACCCTAAAGCTGTTCCAGAATCCCACTGTTCCAAGCGCTGACCCTACTGAATGTGCTCATGATTTGGTAGAGCAGTACCAGGGGACAGGTACCACTCTCTCCACCCTGCTTTGTGAAATGCAAAGAAAGGAATTTCATCTGGAAGATGAGAGGAGAGAGCAGGCACCTGCCACTGATGAGCTGTCTGCTTTTTTCCCTTGGGTGTGTCGGAAAATGATCCTTTCTGGAGAAATGAATTCAGAGGGCAAAGGGGGAACTTGTGGTCTCTGAAGCAGTGAACCATGCCAGCTCAACACACCCAGACAGGCTGATGGCTCTGTGCAAGCACGACCCTGAGCCTTGTGGGCAAGGAAGAGCTGGCAGATAAGCACAAGGGGATCAAAAGGAACAGGGGGAATTTGCACACACTGGCATTGATGGCCAACAGATGAGGAGCTGCTTTGCATACAGATACGATGATATTGAGGGCTTTAAGGTACTTTTTAAACAACTATCACCCATAAGCACTGAACTGCTGGGGTGATATAAACTGCACTCTGCCACACCTTGGTCCCATCACAGGGGAACACACCAGGCTCGGGTTTATGGGCAGGCAGGACATTTCCTCTGCTGAAATGCTCTAGCTCCCTAGATTAGCATGCTCTGCAACATGCTCAGATGTGAAGGGAACTGGCTCAAGCTGGTGGTTAAAATCACAGAATTACTAAGATTGAAAAAACCTCTAAGACTGAGTCCAACCCAGCACCCTCATGTTCATGACTAGACCATATCCCCAGCTACCACTTCCATACATCTTTGGAACACTCCCAGGGATGATGATTCTACTACTTCCCAGGGCAGACTATTTCAATGTGTGACCACCCTTTCAGTAAGAAGATTTTCCTGCTATCCAATCTAAACCTCCTCTGCCACAACTTGAGGCCATTCCCTCTCATCCTGTCATTTGCTATCTGGGAGAAAAGACAGATGCCCACGTCGCTAAAACTTCCTTGCATTCTGGAGGTCTTTCATTCCTGGTGGGAATACAATAATTTTCACATGTTCATCGCTATGTGGAGAACTGTAATTCAAGCAAGTGGTGTCTGGATAGAGAGACAACTCAGAGCTGGAATCCCCACAGTCATGCTCAATTCAGTGCAGGGATGGTGCACAGTGATGCCATTAAAATCATATTGGACATGATAACACAGCTGCTCCCTGAACATTTGACTAGAACCCAGGCTATGACTTCTCATTTATTCAAAGTCTGTCATACTTTGAAGTGCAAACATAATGCAATGCCTATTTGCACAGAGATTTGCCACTTTCTGCCATATATGGAATTACACTGACATAGTTTATGCTGCTGAAGTATGAAAGGAGCTCTCTAGGAAGGAAATATTAAATAATGATCTGTGCTGGAAAGAAACAGCTCATAGGGTGGTTGCTTTCCATCATACTCATTTTATAGCAATTCATACCTCTACTCACAGGTTATAACCTAAAGGGCTTCACACACCTCATAATCAATATCCAAGTGATCTGAATCCCCCTTTGTGCGGAAGTGCTGGGTGTGCTTGTCCACGGTGAAGTTCACTTGCTTGTTGAAGCGTTCTATGAGAACTGAGTGCCAGTGCTGGTCATCCAGGAGGCTGCCCAAGGTGACAGAGGTGTGGCTGTTACTGAAGTGCAGGTTGGAGTCCCCTGGAGTGGCACAGAGAGGCAGAAGACACCAGAGTTACCTTCAGACTCTTGACTGGAGCATGGGGACTTCAAGGAAAGCACAGATCAGCGCTCCAGGATGCACGTCAGAGCTCTTGGAAGCAAATTCTTTTCAAAGACTGCCTTAGATTCCTTGGGTCTCTTATTCACACACGTGTGTATACCCCCCACCACACACACATTTTTCCCTGTGAAATCCTTGTGATGAACCAGAAGGTGTCACAGATGCTGCACTCACACACTGCAGCAGGCAGGACATTATTACTTTGTCTGTATCCTTGATTCTACCAGGCTTTTTTGGTCCTGGTGGCTTAAGAGCTTCCTTTGGGTAACACCAAAATCTTCTGTCTAATCACATCAACAGACCACTCCTGACACTTCACTGTCAACTCTGTGCTTTCTGCATTTTAACAAGAAAATTGTTTTAAAAAAAGGCACTAGTCAGTGAAGCAATAAGAGTGTTTTGTTCAGCTCATAAAAATTCTTAAACCTGGCCTAGCTCTCCAAAAGTATAGATCACAAATCATAAAAATATTTAGGCTGGTAATTTTAACCCAGTAATTTCAAGCACTCTTCTGTTTTCCAGCTGGCTACATGTCTGAACACTTCAGAGCCTCTCACTGAAAGGGAGTGTCCATCCTCCTTTACATTTCCACAGAATGGAGAGAACACATGCTCCAAAACTGCCAGGCAAGATGCAAGCAGATTCAAGAGAAGTCATCAAAAGCCTTGTCATGACACATGAATGCAAAAAAGAGGACCTGAAATGGCCAAAATTTTGTACACTTGGGGCTACAGCTGAAGAAAAAACCGAACTCATCTCAGAATGCACATCCACAACACTATCTCCTCTGGAAGTTACATAATATAATTAACTATAGTATATTCTTATCCTAGTACAGAAAATTTGTAAGAGGACAATTCTGTGGGGTAGACTCCCTCATTCAGAGCTTTGGGATGTAGGTTTTTGGTCCAAGTAACATCCAAATTCCAAATCAGAAAATTATGCATTATCATTCCCAAACTTTGCTGAAAAACAAAGAAGGAAAGAAAGAAAGCACAACCTGGGGACTCAACAATTAATGAGCTTATGTAAAAATGAAGTCCAACAGCTGTGGAAAATAGTTACTGATTTCTAAAACAAACATAATTAAGCACAAGGGGAAAAATGCCCAACTTAAACCCCTCAGTATGAGAAACAGGAGCCAGCAGAGACTGCTGAGGCCAGTACCATGGGACACCCACAGATGAAGCCAGTGAAGATTTTGCAGTAAGGCTGGAAGAGGGGAGTATGATCATTCCTATTGGAGTAGCCTCAAAGTGCTTCAGTGTATCCATCAGGGAAAAAAACAAGCATCCTTCTAGAGGAAAACAATAAGACAGCCTTTCATCTGATGCTCTGATCCAACATGATTGCACAGTGATAGCCTTACAGATATTGAAGAAGGGATATTCACAGTTTTCAGGAAAGAAACATGCAGCAGTGTGAACAATGTTTTGACCAGAATGTTATCACTGAAATTCTGTATTCTCAGCTCAGCTCTGAATCACTAACTGAATGGAAAAAAATTAGACAAAAACCATAAATAAGCCTAAATAAGCCTTTCCTGCAGTCCAAAGACCACTTCCTGAGAATGCTGTTCTTAAAAATAATATAAAAATCCCACACACATGCAAAAAAAAAAAAAAAAAAAAAGGAGCTATGTGAAGAATCAGAAGCAGCCATTGAGCAGTTCTAGTTCTGCCTTGCTCAACACTAGTTAGAGTAGCCAAGGTCTCAGCTCAGCTGCCATGTCCTGAATGACATCAGCACACAGAATGTTGATATCAGCTGAAGTTTGCAGATACTGTCTAATAAAAATAAAAGATTTATATGCAATACCATGATCCTAATTACCCTTACCCAGGTTGAGGTGCAAGGAGAGCTTCCCTTTCTGCAGTTCCAAGGTTATGTAGTCTCCACGCTGTCCTTCTCCATGGAATAAGACTCCATCCCCCTGCATGCTCTTGAACTTCAAGGAAACTACATCTTTGAATGTGCTCATAAGCTTCTGATTGAACCTGTAGAGAAGTGAACTTCTGCCATCAAAGTCTGCAATATCTGACTCTGGAAGAAAGAAAATGGCAAAATGGCAAGGAGGGGCAGCATCAGAAGAGGGATTGTATTTTTTTCAGGATCTTTTCAAATACAGTTTGGAGTCAGGTATTGTTCTGAGTGTACATCCACAGGATGTACAGGGTCATTTGGGCAACCACATTTCATCCATTTCCAATCCTCTCCCTCTGCTGGAGAAAGGGAATATGAGGATAAAACCAGAACCCCTCTGCACTTGCCTTCCTCATACAACACTTCTCTCTCATTTAACTTTTGAGAACAGAACAGGTGCCTCCCATCATATTCAGATCTCCAGAACATCCCTTGCCACATTTGCTGTTCCTCTCAAATGCATTCAGGATGTTATTCATTACTTTGAACACTTCAGTACTCACTCCACTTCTGTAGCTTCACAAGAGTCTGTTGAGCTGTTCCTGCATGCCAGCCATGCCTGCATCCACCTCTGCATTCTGATAAGGATCCCCTCAGCCTCCGAGGGCTGGCTGCTTGCTTGTGATGGGCATTTATCAGCCATGTTTCTGCATGCAAATTGCCTAGGCTGGCAGGGATAGTCAAATATCAATTCAAAAAGCTTTTGAAGAGATTTCATGGGAACTGGGCATCTAAACTGATTATACACCTTTGAAAATCCTATTAGAAACATATTTTCCCCTACAGCCAGCCTCTAAAATCCCAATCATTCTGGTAGGAAACAAGCTTTCTGTTCCTCACTGCAATTAATATTTTCTTTGGCAGGAGCAGCCTGAAGTACTCTCTCTGCTTTAAAAAATTGTCTTTTAAGTAAAACATATTTTTAAACAAAATTTTAATGCATCTCTAACCAGGATATTTCAGGTAGCTTTAAATACTTTTAACTAATATCTTGTACACAAACATCTGACTGACATACATTACTTCAATTCCAATTTCTATCCAACTGCAATTTGACACAATTTATGTATAAGGTATCAATTTTGTCAATTGGTATTTTCTGTTGTTAAGAAAAATATTAAAAATTAAGAACACCAGACAATGAAGAATTTGAACAGAGGTTTATTAAACTACATAACTACTGAGGCACAGGCACAAAACCAAGTAACAACTTCCTAGTGCCCAAGAAGAAAGAATGTAGACTCTCTCTTTGCAAACCATACATTTCAATGCTAAACCCAAGCTATCAGTTTTCTATTTTCTTCTGAAAAATAACTGAGAGGTTCATATGATCAAGACTTCCCATCAGCAATTATATTGTGATTCAAGTCAGTAATTTAAGTCACCTTAACTCCATTGAGAGCTCTTTTATCCTTTTAAGCATTAACAATAGTTTCATCTGCTCCTTTTAAAAAAACAAAAATACTAAGAGCTGGGGATGAGGGTTTTAACCTTTTTTCTCTCTCTCTCTTTTTTTTTTTTAGTGAAAAAATTAAAGAGGTCTGCAATTAACAACTATTAAAAGCTCAGAAAATAAAACAGCTGTTAACAATTTGTTACCATGGAAACTATCATGAAAATTTCTGCCTATCAGTATGACAGTTTGTACAGGAGTTTGACGGCACACTTACAAACTTGTAGGGAGCACAACACTTCAATTTGATGCAAAATTCTGTAACTCCATAGCCAACTTAATGCCAAATCAGAAGCAACTGATTTTTTTTATGACACTAAAACTACAAAGAAACTCAGTCCTGGGGAAAATTCACTCTTGAATAAACTAAGACCAACTTATCTGTGATGTCAGAATTATAATAGGCTGTTTCCCTGCATGTGTGGAACAGTTGCTAGTTTAGGAATTATCACAAATATGAAAGTATTCCTGCCATCTGTTTTTAAGTTCTGAATTAGGTGTTATGAAACAGATTCTTCAGAATTGCTGACTTCTCTCTATTGACACCTTGACTGCCAGTTTCTATAAAGGGAATTAAATTCGTAGTTTAGTTCTTGTGAATTTTCCCTAACTACATTAAATACTACAATTTGGTTAAAGTAAATCACAAGTGTCTTATAAAAATAGTTTCACTTCAACACAGTCAGCAATTAGGAAATAGCTTATAAAGAATTTACAGTCTTTGATTTCCAGAGCATTTTGCAACTAAAGTTGATTTTTCTCCTAGCTCTTAAAAACAAAGGCACTGCAGGAGCAAGGATGTCCTGATTCAATGCTGCTCAAAAAGTGGCCCTTTTAAATCTTATTCCTAATATCCAAGGCTCCAGCCAGTCTAAATTCACACTTCAGTTCTTGTTCTTAACTCTCCATTAAGCCACAGCATAACATGATTTCTTGAAGAGCTCTACTGCTGACATTTACAGAGCATATCACAAAGGAAAACTTGTTTCTGAAAAGCTCTGCTCCACTAATTATCAGTTGTGAGCATACTGGCCAATAAATAGCCCTGAATGAAACGAGAATATGTCAAATAAATGCTAACGCTGGCAGCCAAAAGTCGTTAGTGGCAGTTTGCATGACAACAAATCGTTGGTTCCTGTTAAAAACAGCCACTCCAGAAAACCTGCTTGGTGTTTGCTTAGTGCTTCTGTAGTCCATGTATGTCCATAACCCTCTTCCAGCAGGAGAACGAGGATCCAAAATGTTTCAAGTCTCAGAAAATCTGTAGCAATAACAGACTAAAACACAACATGCAATTTCATCCTGCACTGCCTGCTGGTGTTCTTACGCTCCCTGAAGACAGACTTTACTCATTCTGGGCTCCTCTCTACACTGTCCTGTCCTCATCAACAAGGCTGTTGGCAGGCTGGCAGCAGTGAGAGCACAGAGCCTGCTCGTGCTCAATCTGCTCCCAGCAGCAGAGAGGATACACAGCCACGCTCAACAAGAAAGTGCTTCCTCTCAGTGACTTTGGGGAAAGGGAACACTTACTTAACAAAGATACTCTAAACCAAGCATAACTCTAGGAACAGCTGCCATGTGAGACAGGAACTTTCAGTCTTGAGCTTGCACCAATGAACAGAATCTTTAACTCCTGGCTGAAGGGAAGAGGACAACTCCTGGTCTGAACAGATGTGTCCCCTGGCCACTCACAGCCTTGAATGACCCTAAAGCCATGCCCACCTCTCTCTCAGACATGCAACCCAAGGGATGCATGTGGATGACTACTTCAGAGGTGACTGTTCTGCCATGCAGCTTTATCCCTGTCAAAAATCTCAGCTTCATTTGGGTAAGCAATCATGTGGGTATTTACCTTGTGCATTTGATTACAAACATGACTGGTCAAGGACCATCAGACATTAAGCAGTTCTCTGCAATGAGTTATTTTCTATCTCATAGGAAGACAAAGGAGAGGATGAAGGAAGGTGGGGGAAAAGAAAAAAAAAAAGAAAGAGGAAAAAAAGAAAGAAAAAGAATCCAGTAAAAATATCATTTAATAAAAAGGCACAATATCAGATCATATTCCCCAAAGCAATGGCAGTAAAATATGAGAAATCAGAGTCCCGAACTGCAAATGAAGAATTCTGCTCTCACAAGACACCCTGTCTCACACCCTATCATTGTTTCTCCTGTGGTATCCCAGCCTGTTAACTGCACATACACCCAATTCTGCTGATGCACCTTGGGCTGTTAACCAGTTACAGAATATCATCAGCATCTTCAATGCACCTATAAATCTTATCCTATAAAAGCAATTGTGCCAGCAATTTTCTTTTCCCTTGTGCTAAGCTAACAAGACTTTTCCCAAGTATAAAGATACACTTGTTGCCCCTCGCCACCTCCAACATCAAAAGCAATTGGTTTGCCATTTGTCTGAGCATGTCCTCTGCTGCAGCTCTGCTTATCTGTTACAAATACACTGCTGGAGCCACTGCTGCAAAGGGATAGCAAGGGCTTACACGTATTTCTGCATGGAACTTTCCACAGAACTCATCATCAATCCTTTTCTGAACAGGAAACATTAATGTATGTTTTCAGATCATCATCTCCTTCCTATTTTCAAGATCCTATTTTGAGGATACCAGATGAGATATTTACAGGAATTTAAAAAAATGTAATCACTTTCATTTAAATACATACTTTCTGAAGAAAGTAAACATTTAGCAGGCTATCTGTGAATTACACTTCTATGATGGCCTTGGAGTCCTTTATTCATAGGAAATTCAATATGTAGGGATAGGATCAGGTACACTCATAATCTGAAATATCTTTTCTGTTCAAAACATGTTTTTATTTTTCCAAAGAAACAATATCAACTGGCAGCCAAATAGAGGGTGAAAAGAAAAAGAGAAGAAGAAGAAGAAAAAAAAAGACAAAAAATGAAAGCTTTTTTTTTGACAGGGAGACTTGAGGAATAAATTCATAGTAAGTTATTTCTAGCAGAAGCAATAAACAACAGCAAGCAGCCATTCAGCAGCAGCACAGTTCCATCACAGGCTGTTACCCACTCTGGCATCCAGTGCACTCAGCAGGATTCCTCAGCATGTTTTGTTGCTGTGTCCTGGCAGAGTGTCACCTGGCAGGTGACCTACAAGACCTGCCCTGTGCCCCCTACTAAACAGACATCAATGAAAGCTGCACTTGCAAAAGTTAGCACAGGATTGTGTTCTTGGGGCCTCTCGAGCAGAGAATACTGCATAGGAGAGTCCAATACCAAAAATGAGATGATAGACCCTTCTGCTGCCACAAGACTGTCACATTCACCTAAAAAGGCAGCAGGGAGGCCATACATGGCTCTTACAGATGGATTTATATCAGCTGATGCTGTTTCTTCTCTCAGCACCACATCCCCTCTTTCATGTACATACAGACACATGCATGAAGATGGTGCACATTCAATACACTTGTTCTTCTATTTCAGTTTCCTGTCTGGCTTGTTTAACAGCCCGTTTCTAGAAACTTAAGCTTTCCAATTTTAAATTTTTTTCCCAGATTATTAATATTTCTTATGCTACAACTGAACACAGTGGATGAGTCTGTCTGCTATCAACTTTACAAAATGTATTTATGTAGTTGTACACCAGCTCAGGATCTGCAGCAGATATTCTGTCAGTATACCACTAAAGATGACATTTTAAAAATGATCAAACATCTTTTGTACAGTGCTGGTGGGTCTGGGTTAGGAGTAGCCAAGTCAGTAAAACTATATAAGCACAACTTGTAGACAGGTATTGCTTGGCATATGCAATTTGCCAGAGAGAAATGTGAATGGCACATTTATATAAATGGAATGAATATTTCAACACTCTGTAAAAGTTTTATGAATCCCTTTATTTCTTTTCTGGCTCGCTTTAATCTCATACCTTAATTCTGCACAAGCACTTTATTTCCTGCAACTAGAGGGTATAGGACAAAGATGAAGACTTAGATGATAAGACAAGGCAACTCAGTGATTCTGCAAGTGATTCTGAAATCTTCTTTGTATCATAGAAAACACAACCACAGTCTGACATGAAAGTAGTGCTCATGTAGTAGATTACATGGACTACTATCAAAAAAAGAAAAAACAGCCGCAAAAGTTTCAATCTTCCCAAAGTTCAAGTTCTATTTGTTACACAACTGTTTGGACTATACTCTTCACTAGAAGAAGAAAGCTCTTGAAAACAGACTAGCTGTCTGTTTCAGAATTACGTCACCAAAGGCAGTTGATTCTGAATTTCAGATTTCAGTTTACATGTTCACTAATACACCTGGAAAAGGTCTCTTGCCCTAATGGATGGGCATCCAGACCAGGTGGCTGTAGATCAGGCAACAGTGCCTGTGCAGGTGGACAAACAGCATCTAGAAGAAGCTGAATGGATGTAATAGACCTACATAGAGACCATAAGAATCTTCCTATGAAACCATGGGAAGCAGTCCTAAGATCCATGGGCACTGAGAAGGCCTCAGAAAGTCCTGAAATTGTGTCTCTCTTCAGTGGGAACATGTGACTCAAAAAGTTTATTAAACTTCTCTTTCATTTAGCTTAGATGAATTTAGGTTGCCTCCCAAATAGTTTTCATGCTTATTCTGCTACAGCCCATTATCTGTGCTTGGGAGGAGCAGATAAGAACCTAAGCTAAATTGGGAGATGTACCAGTACAGGGGTGTCACATGATGGTCACTTGTGCCACACCACCCTGAATTTATCAGTAAAATGCTGTTAATCCTCTGAACTCTCCACAACAAAATCTCCCCCCTTTTCAGCAGCATCTCAAGTCACAAAAATGAACAGAAAGTCACCTGAGAAATAAATATTTGACTTGTATTTCCTCATGAGCGGACTTCCATTTTCTGCAATGGAGCACCATCAGTCCTTTTGCCTTACATTCACAGTCTGCCACAGTCACAGGACATACATCTGCAGAACTATGACAAGATTTCTCACCAAAACACCCCAAGCCAGCAACATTTACCAGCTGCTCCAAAGCCTAAAACACTACAGACCATATCATCAAAGACCATCTTGTGTTAAGAGTGGCCAAAGAAAGCTGTTGTGAAGCTATAAAGTCATCAGTCCCAAATACAATCAGAGCTGCAGAATCCACAGCACTTCAGAACTAGGTAACTGGCCTTAAACTCACAAATGAACTGTTTAGGCAAATATAGCTCTATAGAGCTCCCAATCAGCCTTGTGACCTTCAGTGGGCAGGAGGTTTTGCAGCATGTGACTGCCTGGCTCTCCCAGAAGCAGCAAATTGCTCTGTGGTGGGCTCAGCCCTGAGGAGGCTCCACCAGCTGAGTGAGATGGGCAGCACATCCCTGGGCAGAAAGGCAAGAACAACTACTATAAAAAATAAACAATGGCAATGTGTTTCATGTTACATTCTAACTCATAAAACTTTTACTGCACTCTTCCCACAGCACCACCAGCACCAAGTAAATGCTCTTTGACAAAATGTGGGTTAAGATGCAGCCACTTACTGTAAGAGCAGCCGAAGACCTCAACTCTCAGTCCTATCTGCCCACCAACGTTCCACCTCAGGGGGATGAAGCGCAGGAATCGAGCTTTCACCGAGTGCAGCAGTTTGTGGTGCACCACACTGTCAGCATTGCTGTTCCCTGTGAAAACCTGGAAGGACAAAAAACCTTGGTGAGACATTGAGCAACAAGAGGTGAACGCGGCACTCTGAACAAAGGCTGTGAACTGTCACCCCTCTTCACGATTCTTAGTCTCAAAAATTACTTGAAGTTATTTAAATTGATTGTCAAGTTTTCTGCTAAGTGCTGCATCTCTTATGAAGGCAAACAAGGGAGATAGCAGAACTTCAGCAAAGTGGGGATGTATACACAGAGTTACAAAAGCAGGTTGTAGATGGGGATGATGCTGAAGATGCTGCACAATTTCTCCTAAGCCAGGCTATTCCCGTGCACTGTAATACTCCATCAACCCCTAAAATAATCAGAGTCCTGTCAGCACAGTGAAAGATGGGGCATGATTTAGCCTTTGGTGCACTCGTGGAAGCACTAAATGATAGACACAAGCCACTAAAGTTCTTGAGAGTCTGGGAAGAACAGGACTTCCAGATACCAACAGAAAACTCAAGCAAGGAACAGGAGGAGATAAAAGCCTGAGTAAGTACACAGGAGAATCAGCGTTTTGACTGTGTTTGCACCCCAGAGAGCTAAAGCATGCAAACATAATAATTTAATTTCTTGCCTTACCTATTTAATTAATTGCCTGCAACAGCAAGCCAAAATTAATGGCCCAAGTCAGAATTATAACTTAGCAAGAGGAAATTCTCTCATGGATGAAGAATGACCGAGGGATTTCAAAGACAAACCTTCAGAAAAACTTCAAGGCTGTATTCCTGCCTGAAGCATTTTCAATTCATCTTTACACCCTTATCTGTAATATTGGCCAAGGAATATCACAGACTTCCTGCAATCCTCAGAACATTTCAGTAATTCAGCTAGGATTGAAATTTGAAGCTAACAGTTTTGTAAAACATGAAAAGCAAAGAGAGAACACAGGAAAACATAATCTCACAGGAGAGCCATATTTGTAAAAGAGGTCCTGCATTTTGTAAGCATAAAATTTCATCACAAAAAGTTGTACCAGTTTAAAATGCTTCTGCAGTTCAAAAATTGGCACCATTCACCAACACAATGTAATTGTGAGCAAAATTGGAATAAGCCCATTAAAGCAGACCTACAATTCATTTTGATGGTTCAAGTATGTGTTAAAGAGATTAAGGGTTCATCTCCATTCAGTTTTTTTCCTCAAACACAAACATTCCAACATTTTTCCAAATGTTATTATAGATGGTGTAAAACCTCAAATCTAGCATATTCTTGTTTTACTAAATTCAGAATTCAATTGTTTTATTAGAACTATATTAAATAAACAATATTCTGGAACATTTCTAAGGCACAATCCTTTGAAATCATACCTTGTTTATTTCATTTCACCTTAAAAACTGTAACTTGGGGAAATTCTCTTCTATATACAATAGGCCTTAGTTTCCACCCAGTCATGAATGTAAAAGACCACATATATCTCCCTCCCTAAAACATTCTTTGCATTTCATTGCTGTTATTGCCTGCCTCTGAAGATGAACAATGTTACTGAAATGATCTCTCACAATCCCAGTTACCTCCTTGAAAAACCACCCTTCAAAACAAGTGATCATGTGCTGGTTTTGGCTGAAGTGTAGTTAATTTTCTTCACAGTAGTTTGCATGGGGCTGTGTTTTGGATTTGTGCTGGAAACTGTTGATAATACAGAGATGATTTAGTTATTTTCAAGTAGTGCTTGGACTCTTCTGCTCCTCATCCCAGCAGGGAGGAGACTGGAGGGCATGGGAGGATGGGAGGGGTCACCCCAGCTGACCACAGGGATATCCCATCCCATCCCATCCCATCGGCAGCACACAGAGCTGGGGAAAGGACAGCAGGATGTACAGAATGATGGAATTTGTATTCCCAAGTCATCATTACATGTGATGGAGCCTGGATGTCCTGGGAATGGCAGAACACCTCCCTACCCATGGGAAGTGGAGAATGAATTCCTTGCTCTGCTTGCAAAAGTGCGAGTGGTTTTTGCTTTACCCATGGTCTTTATCTCAACCCATGAGTTTTCTCATGTTTAATCTTCCAATTCTCTCCCCCATCCCACAGAGGGAGAGTGAGGAGCTCTGTGGGGCTCAGGGAATGGTTGGGGTTAATTCATTACAGATCTGTAAAATTATTTCTATTAGGAGCTTATCAGGCTGAAAAGGGGGAAAATCTGGTTATCCCAGTTGTCCTCAAAGCTTTGCTTTTCCTATACCTCTAGCTCTGAACTTTTTATGCACACGATCTTGTTTCCTACAAGTATGATATGACAGTTAACTAACCTCTCATAAAATAAGCTATATTATTTTTTTAATGGAGATTCTTGTTGATGTTAATTCAAAGTTAACCAAATACAGCAGATATGTTTTGAGTAGTGGAACAAACAGAAGTTCTATATGTCCTGATGTTATTGTATTGCTTTTCACATAGGAGCCAATTTCAAATTCCAGCAGAGAGTCTTTCCTAGATTTTTTTCCTTACATTTCAATTGAAAAAACTTGTTCTTTTCTGAACAAGAAACTAATGAAACTGTCAGTAAAGACTGCCTCACAGTCGTAGCTGTGGCAGTCCCCACATTTTTAGTAAGACACTTATGGATATGTAAGATGCATAAAGGAGACTTGTTTTCTGTTTGTTTGCTCCAAAGGCTCATGTCCTTGGAGCCCTGTGATTATGTAAATGTCTCACCTTTAATAAGATAAAAAAGAAAGAAGAAAAACAACGAAGGGAGGACAGAGTGTTTCCAGTCCTCCCAGTTGTGAAGAAAAGCTTAAAACACAGTGACTAGAGTGAAAGTGAAGGTGAAAAGTAAGAGACAAAAGAAGTACACCTGAATACTGTGAAACAAGCTGGGAGGGTCCAGCAAACTTTAGGGACTGTCTGTGCATCAAGGAGGTTGTAGTTTTGCCAGGGAAAAGATTCACAGCTGTATCACACCCACTGCAAGCTGATCTCGCTGCCCACCCAGTGGCATCTCTGCTAGGGATCTTCCCTCAACACCTCAGCAAGAGCCACAATTATTCACATCCAGCCTCCAGATCAGTTAGTTCACTCCAAACCTGATGGGCAACTATGTAAAAACATCCCTCCAACACCGAAAGAGCCACACTGGTAAAAATAAATTATTCAGAGGTCCAATACCGCCCTTAGAGCACTTTTTTTCTCAAGTTCCTCTAATAAGCAAAGGGCTAATGACCCTTTTAGAGAAAGGAAATCCACAGGCAAAGCTGTACCCATTGATCTGTGCCTATGAGATGGTTCTGTGTGCTGCTGGCAGATCCCTGCTTGCTGCTACCAACGGGGCATCACTGTGTGTGTGCCTTCAGGATTGCTTTGATTTTCCTTTCCAACTCCCACTGCTATACAGATCACCTTTTGATGCTTTATGGACCACCTGTGGGCTGTAGACCATTGATTGAATAATACCAATTGATTGAATAATACCAATTGCCACAGACGGTCACTGGAAAACTTAAGATCCACAGCTGACACAGAAAAAATCCATCCATTTAAGGAGATGAAAGTAGGATGCAGTACCAGATTTCACAGCCCTGGAGGTTCAAATATTGATTAACAGTAAACCTATCGGTGAGAATGGCAGAAGTCCTCTTGAGAAATGGCCTCTAATACAACTTGTTGATAAGGATTAATTCCCAGGACCAAAATGACGAACAAGTGCAGAAAACAAAGCACTTGCATTTCCCATGCAACACAGTTGCTCTGGGAGGGAGCACAGCCCTTCAATCTGTGTCTTTTAACAAGCCCTGTAAACACAACAGACAGATGATTTACATGGGAAATTCTGCCTCTGGCAATCTATGGGGCTTATAAATCAAAGAGCTCCATTAGTGCCAGATTTTGCCACTAGCTTCTTGAAGGCAAAAGCTTTTCCCCGGTGCCAGCAGTCGCAAGGTTAACAGCTGGCCAGGGCTGCCCCTCGGACCAAGCTTGTTCCACAATGCCTGGCTGCACGGGGCTCTGCTGTGACACAGACCACGGCAGCACAGTAATATTTTATGAGGCTTTTTTTATGAGTCAGCAAAGGCATGAAAAGGTGAGGGGAGAGCAGCTGCAGTGGTTTGGAGCAGGGTCCAACCGGCTCAGTGCTGCCTCTTGGGCAGCAGCTGTCAGCACATGGGGAAGGATGGCAGAGACAAGCAGACACAGTGCTCCTCCCAACGCTCAGCTCACCTAGTTCATGGATTATAGTGAAAAGGACAAAATGGAATTCCAGTTTAAATGAAAAAGAAAATTTTGAAAAGAAGCATAAATCTCAAAACTGCTGTTGTTGCCTGGAATTTGCATGGATGAGTCCCTCAGGAAAAACATTGATTCAAGTAAATGGGCTGTTTTCACAACTCTCCCATTCAGAGGGATCCCCAAAGCTTTTCAAGGGCAGTTCAGGAGAATGTCACACAACTGTGGTGAAATACAGCAGTTGTTTGATAACCCTGAAGACACATGTTGGTTTCTTTACCTCATGCATTAATTCAGAGCTATGCCAAATCATACCAGTGAGACTTGATGAGCTTCAGATCATCCTTTGGCCAACCTCTTAGACTGGTCTCCACCTCCCAACAGACAAGTGGAAATTGGATGCAAGCATCTACTCATGAAAGCCCAGTTAATCCGAAAGATAAGACCAGATGCAGAACTTTATCTCAGCCTCCCCCTGCATGAACTCTCTGCACATTAAATGGCAACTTATTTACAGACTTGCAGAAGGTGCTTCCCATAAGGGCTCTGCTGAATACATTCTGCTCTCCCACTTTGTTAGACAGGTAACGGGATGGGCTCAAAATGAGTGTGCAAGCAGCAACACCTGCACAATCCTCAGCCCTGCATGGTGAGCAGGCAGGCCTGAGGTTAATTACCTTCTAGGAGAGATATTTTAAGACATATTTAAAACTTTCATTTCTGTCCAAGTAACTCTGATGAGCTGAATTGAGGGGAAATAAATAATCAGAATATAAATGTGCAGAGGGCATACAACACAGATGTTAGCAATTTACAACA